GCTTGAGTTGCGGATGGCGTAGGTGAGTGGTTTATGGTCCGTCCAGATGACGAAGGGACGCCCTTCGACAAAGTGTCGAAAGTGCCGGACGGCCAAGTACGCTGCGAGCAGTTCTCTTCCAAAGACGCTGTAGCGGGTCTGGGCGGGCTTTAACTTCTTGGAAAAGAAAGCTAGGGGCTGCCATTCACCGTCCACCTGTTGTTGTAGGACCGCCCCAACAGCCGTTGCTGAAGCATCTGTCATGATCGAGGTTCTGGCATCGTGTTGTGGATGTCGCAGAAGTACAGCGTCTGCAAGTACAGTCTTTACTTCGCAGAAGGCTTGCTCCGCGTCTTCACTCCAAGGCAGGTTGGTAGTGGCACGTGCAGTCTTTGCTAGTAGAAAATCAAGAGGCTGGAGTAGCCTCGCGCAGTTCGGAATGAACCGGCGGTAAAAATTTACCAGGCCGAGGAACTGGCGAAGCTTTGTGATCGAGCTAGGTCTTGGAAAGTCCCTGATCACTTGCACTTTCGACGGCAAAGGTCTGATGCCGTGTCGTTCCAGTCGATGTCCCAGAAACTCGAGTTCTGATCTCCCAAACTCACTTTTTGCGGCGTTGATGATGATGCCGTGGTCTGAGAGTCTTTGGAAAAGAAGACGGAGGTGGTTGGTGTGCTCCTCCTTTGTCGAGCTAGCGACCAACAAGTCGTCAACGTAGGCAAATACGAAGGGAAGCCCGCGCGTGACAGCGTCGATGAATCTCTGGAATGTTTGAGCCGCATTACTGAGGCCAATGGGCATGCGGAGAAACTCAAACAGACCAAACGGAGTTGTAATAGCTGTCTTTGGGATGTCTTCGTCAGCGACGGGGATCTGGTGGTACGCGCGGGTAAGGTCAACCTTCGAAAAAATGGTCGTGCCTTGGAGGTTGACAGTGAAGTCCTGAATGTTTGGGAGGGGGTATCTATCGGGCACTGTGCTCTTGTTCAGTGCGCGATAGTCGCCACACGGTCTCCAATCTCCGTTCTTCTTGGACACCATGTGTAGGGGAGACGCCCAGCTGCTTGACGAAGGTCGGATAATTCCAAGCTCGAGCATGTGCTCAAATTCTTCGCGAGCGATGCGGAGTTTCTCTGGAGCCAGACGACGGGGTCGGAAGTGAACCGGTGCGCCCGTTGTTTCGATGTGATGGTGGACATCGTGCGAAACCGGTCTGGTCCAGTCAGGAGCTCGCGTGAGGCTTGGAAAATCCTGGAGAGGAGGTCGGAATGGCCCGTCGATGTTAGAGCAGACTGACGCGAATCCTGCGGTGTCATTTGTTGAGACGCCTTGCACGGAGAGTCGCGTTGTGGAGTCGAGCAGACGTCTCTCCTTGACGTCTACAAGGAGGCTGTGGTGTTGTAGGAAGTCAGCGCCGATGATCGCGTTGCCTACGTCTGCGACCAAGAATACCCATCGGTAGACTCGTCTGAGGCCAAGATTTATGGTGATGGACCGTTCCTTGTAGACGGGGATCGACGAGTTGTTCACAGCCCGAAGGTAGTAGATGGGCGTCTGTGATCGATCCGCGCGTTTTGCAGGAACAGCGCTTACCTCGGCCCCGGTATCGACGAGATAACGGGTTCCCGTAGTCCTGTCGGCGATGTAAAATAGGCGACTTCCTGGTAGGTTCTGACTACTCGTTGCCTCTATCGGTTTGCTCCAGGAGCAGGGACGAAGGCAGTGCCGGGCGTCGGAGCCAAAGCGACGATGGTATACGCAGACGTCCGCTGAACTTGCGGAGTGGGAACGGTCAGCATTTCTGCAACGAGATGTTGAACGTCCACGTTGTTGTTGAGTGCGTGGACGATCTCGCTGGTGAGTTGCCGCGGTAACACTGTCTTCCAACCGCTGGCAAAGCCGCTCGAGGTTGCCGTCAAACGATGGAGTGCCTGGCGGGGCAGGCATAGCTTCACTTCCGTCTTCTGCCGCCGATGTAATGCTGGCGACGGGTGGAGTGGCAACTTCAATAACGGCGTCTGCCAGGGCCGCGAGGCCTGTGAGGTCGAGAGTCGTAGCGGTGGCCAACACCATCTGGACGTTGGTTGGGAGGCGCTGAATAAATAGCTCCCGCAGCAGAGCGTCGCCGATCGTGTTGGCGCGATCTCCAAGGAGCTGAGTCATCCGCCTTAGCAGCTGAGACGGACGTCGATCGCCGAGTTCTTCCGCCGAAAGAAGTTCTTGAAGGCGGGAGCGATCTGATGCCTCGGTTCTCTGCAGGAGAGCCGCCTTCAGCTGGTCGTAGGAAGCTGTGGCCGACGGTTGCGCAAGGATGTCGTATACTTCGTTGGCTGCTGCCAGCGACAGCGCCGAGACGACATGGTGATACTTGCTCTCCTGGCTCGTCACACCGCTGAGATGAAACTGGGACTCAGCCTGCAGGAACCAGACCCTCGGGTTTCTGTCATAGTACGGCGGAAGTCGGACTGCAACCGATGAGATGGAAACCGGGGGTCCGGCCGCTGCTCTTTGGGGTTCGCCGTTGTCCATGGTCCTCGACCGGGTCACCAAATATGTGGGGGGCCGCGAGGCCCTGCCACGTTATTTAAAGTGAGGACATAGAACGAGACAAGCGAACGACGTGTCTGCCTGTGATGGCGGCTTCAGAGCATTCTCTTGCACGCGCTCTCCGAGGCGCGTCTTCTCTTGCACGCGCTCTCCGAGGCGTGTGCGCGTGCTGCGCCTCAAGCCATCTCTTTTATTTTCATGAGAAGAATGGATCTGTGGGTGCGTTGCACCCTACAATTGAAAAGTTGTCCGCTCCCTGGAAAAGATGAGATTCCAAACTTTCATTTGAGTTTAACATCACTCAATTCCATCGCATAATGAAAAAGTGACAGCCTTGGAGGAAAAACTTATGAAACACCCCTCCTAGATTAAAGGGAAACTCTGGTCAAACGCCCCAGGTTATTGAGAGTGTGTTGAAAGTGTTTGAGGAAAGCTCAAATGACTCAAAGTTCACTCACAAACACCCAGCTGGCCAGTTTCTGCAGTATCTAGACTTTAGACCGCAGATCACGGTAAACCACGTGTGTTAGAGCTACCTTCCACGCTCCAAAAAGGAAGTCCAGGCCTATTATTAGGAACATTCCAAATTAGTAAAAAGGGGTATTACTTCGTCTTGTTTCTAGGCGGCACTTCAAAAGTCATGCCACCATGTTATGCTTAACAGCTTCAATCTGCAGGTTAATCGACTTAGAGGGGCCGGTTATTCAACTCAACTTTTGCTTGGAGTTGCCGAAACGCTGCTGAAAAAGATGAAGGGAAAGTGCCAGGGTATATGAAAGAAAAAAAAAAACGCCTCAGCTCATTCCCTACTTGCACTAAATTTCTTATAACTTGAAAAAAGGTGGAACAAAGATTTGGTGTGCCGCTTGTTTGCGGCGCCATTTAAGTTTGCCCAATTATGCCTGCTGATCTAAGAAAAAATAAATGACGCGCGCTCAATCATGCTAAAAGATTTGGGGAAAGTAACGTGGGCGTGGTGTGCAGAATACCACTGACATACGGTAGGCTGTACATCGGCAAGACAGGACGATGCGTAAATGAGAGGATACGCAGGCATGACCTATCTGCGTTCAACAACAGAAGGACACCTGCCTCTTCATTGCAGAGATTGCCATTGCAAGCCCAACTTCCCATTTACCACGATCGTGGGGAGGGCCCGTGAAAGAGTCGCGAGCGTGGTGCTGTAGAAGCGCTTGTTATAAAGAAAGAAGGCACTGAAGGTTGAGTCAGCCAGCTGTCGATTTTTCTGCATAAAAAAGAGAGTGATTTCATTGACGCGTAGTGATGAGTGACGTCACTGGATAATTCAGTGTCTTTTTTTTTATCCGAGGTTGTTTGCTTTAGCTGTTTTTCAAATAAATGTTCATTGAGTAAGCGCTCGGTCCTGTTCGCCGCTTTTAATTTTATAAGTCATGAACCAAATCGCCCGCTTCGACACTTCAGTTTATTTCTTGTGCGTACTGCTACATCTTTCGCCGTGTTTCCTGCTGCGTTTTCAGCCGTCCCAGCGTACAATTTTTGTTTGTTACGTTGTATTTTAGCGGTCGTTGTTTGTAATTATACTAACAAACAAAAAATATTTGTGCGCGGTCGCGGCATTCACTGGCGGTCATAGTTCAGTCCGTTTCTGCTCAGCGCCAGCTTACGATTAGCTTCCACAAAGCTCCTGCAACGAGCATTCCACATTACCAAAATTATAGCTCTTAAAACTACAATACGTTCATCATGGTAAACTTGCTTTTCGGCCGGCTAGTTAATGAATAGGTATTCATATTTGCTACAGATGTTTTATATCTGCAAGGCAAAGCTGTAAAAGAGTTGCAGGTCTTACCTGACTGATCGAAACTACTCTTGCGATTACTAGGCCAGTTGTACGTTTTGCGGTGCCTCAATACGAACTTTGCGCCACACGATAACCATGCAGCTAATCACATGGCTTGCCATCATGCTCTAGACGGTAGTTTTGGTTTCGCCGCCACGAAACAAAACATTTGAGACAGAATAGCTAGAAACCTGCACCTACACAAAGCATAAAAAAACGAACATTTTGAAATGTAGGCACACTCTTTCACTAAAATTCGTTGTAACCCTAAAATCCAAGAAATGTACCTGAGTTACCCGTGAACAACGGGAGTTCGCTTTTAGAAACAACTACAAAGTGCACACATTAGCGAAGGCTTAATATAAAATAGTATAGCATTATTGGTGATCGAAGCAGGAAAACGGTTGTAAGTAATCAATGTTTATACATTCTAATAAAAAATAAGACAATGGTTTTGTTAATGTATTCAATCAAAATAGACACGATAATAAGATGAGCCTCTTGTACCTGGGATGTGAACTGGGAAGCTGAAAGGAACAGTAAAATAAAAAAGAAAACAATGTTAAATAAAATCGTTTGCGTTTTTACCATAAAATGAGCTGTTGACATAATTCTGCGAACAAGTGTCTTCATTCACAATCTTTTATTTCAGGGGAAACCTTCTCTCGTACCACCGAAATGTCTGACGAATGCGGGATCTATATTTTAGAAGGCGGAGACCGTGAATGCTATAAGCACGAATCTGTGAGTCTTTGAAGGCGTAGAAAACAATTAAATACAAAGTAGATATGATCATCAAAAGTGACTTCCTTACTTTTATAAATAAAAAGCTGATTGTCTTCGTTTCCTTTTGAGGAGGAAGAAGACGAGGCATGGAAGTAAGACGTTTTGACGTCGAGCTCCGTTACCCGTTGTTTTTCACCATAAAAGCAGAGATCAACGTACCAAACTTTGGTACCAGAAAACGCCGCAAGGTAAGAGGTCAACGCAGAGACCGCTACCACCGTGGTCACCCCCGAATCCCGGGAGACAGGTCACTTTGTGCGGCTCCGCTGCGGCGGCCGCGCTAAGCCTAACGGCGACTTCGGCAAGCCGGCTCATTAGGATCGGGGCTGATCCTTGGGACGGCAACCAGAGACCGATGAACATGGAAGCAGGTTCCAGTTCAACCCCGCCGCAATGCGGCGACCAACGAAACACTACCAAGGAGGAGACGCCCCATGGTGCCGTGGACCTTCCAGCACTCGGCCGCAAAGCCGATGACACGAGCCATCCCTACAGCCACGGTGGAGAGCTTGTAGAAGCTTCGGACCTTGCCAGTGACGCAGGCTCCCGCAGCAGCTCAGTGGACCGAAGGCAAGTCACGCTTTCATCAGTTAAACCGTCCGAAACCGGAGCGGGACTAATCAGCGCCCCTATAAACGGGATGGAAGGCATTATGGCTGACATCGCTCAAGGGAGCCCCTTTTTTAATGGCGGCCACACCGAAGTTATGGAAAATTCCCCATCGTCCAGGGAATTCGAAATGACGACAGACGACGGCTGGACACTGGTGGGTAGGAGGAAACGAAAAAAGCTTGCCCCCCCTGGCGGCACCGCGAGCAAGCCCTCGAGGAGACTTACGCAGAACGTGACAACACAGTGTCGAACGTTTATCTTGAGACCTCAGCAACGTGTCCACGTTGCCGAAATAGCACCTCAGAAGATCCTGGAAGCTGTACACAAGGCAGTGGACAGCGGCGGATTTCCACTGGACCTTCGAATTCGTACCAAAGAGGACGCCAATACAATCGCCATCGACGTTTGGAACCCTGCCCTGGCGGACAGAATTCTCGCGGCGACTGACGTTCTCGTCCAAGTTGGAAAGAGCTCCGTGGGCTTTCAAGCCTATGAAGCCGCCGGCCCAAACCAAGTAAGGGGCGTCATTTACACGTCTGGCTTAGATGAATCGCCGGAAGTAATTTTGGCCAACTTGAAGTGCCGAACACACGGGATCATCTCAGCCCGACAGTTAGGAAAAAGCGGCAAGACCGGAGTCATCACTTTTGAGGGCAACAAGATTCCATACCAAGTCACATATTTCCACAAGGTATGCAAAGTCGCCCCATACCGACCCAGGGCGGTCGTCTGTTACAAGTGTCACCAAATAGGACACCAAATGGATGTGTGCCCTGACGACTCACAATGGTGTGGACGCTGCGGGCGCCCTCACAATGAAGAGATGTCTGATTGCCAGAACCAGACCCCGCAGTGCCGAAATTGTAGGGGTGAACACGTGGCCACCGATGCTACGTGTCCCAAGACAGTTAAGGCTACACAAAAAATGCGGCGGAAACTAAAGCCCAAGAACAGAAGGCTTAAGGAGGTTCCCAGGTCTCAGTCCCGGGACCGTGCACCCAACAAGAATCCACACGACCAAGGAAGAACGTCGGGTTTTCAAGGTCGACACCGTCCGAAAGAAAAAACGTTGCCGCCCCCCCTACTTGGTGCGGAGGACTTTCCCGCACTCGACTCTGGACGTCCAGATTCGGAGAGGGCGCCCACGCTCGGCTCAGTAGTTGCCGAGCACAACAAAGCGGCGAGCGACCAGACATATGCCAAAAAGGTCAAATCCTCAGCACGGCGAAAGGGGCCCCCAAAGGATAGTTCCCCTCCAGAGGGGACCAGGTGTCCGCCCTCTCTACGAGACCTCACGATCGCCATCGAAAAGCTTCTGGGAGAGGTTTCCGCACTCCGAGATCAACAGGCGATAATGCAGCAGCAAGTACAGACACAGCAGCAGCTAATTGAACAGCAAGCTCTGATAATAACCCGCCTATCGGGAACAAGTCAGGCCATCACGGGAAACCTCACGCGAAAGCAAATGGCATTCGCCCGCCGTCACAGCGGTGGTGACAGTAACCCGAGAAACAACCAACACCACGGCGCAGTGTAGCAAAATGGGAAGGCGCAGGCGAGGTGGAGTAGGGAAGTCCACGTGGATTCTGCAATGGAACTGCAGGGGCTTCACCGGCCGCCTCGCCGAAATTCGACTCCGCCTCGAGAAAGCAAGCAAGACACCGAAGGGCAAATCCCTCGCTCTCCTCCTCCAAGAGACGGACAATGACGCCATGAAACTGCAAGGGTATTACACCTACACTGCACCTACGATAGCCAGAACCCGAAGAGGGGTTCGCAGAAAAGGAAAACCACCGGTTAAAGATATCAAGGGCCAGGCGGCAATCTTCGTGGATAAAGACGTACCTCACGCACAACTGGACACAGCCCCCTTTTGCAATCCGGGCAGGGAGGTAGTAGTTGTTAAGGCGAGTGTTGGGAAGACGAAGATTAATCTTGTATCAGTGTACTGTAAACCCGGGGTTAAGCAGTGCGAAAAAGCGGACTGGCTCCGGGACCTCTGCTCAGCGATCCCCTTGGATGAACACATTTATATAGGGGGTGATTTTAACGCCGCCCACACTATGTGGGGTTACGTTCGGGATACTCCTAGGGGAGTCAACCTGGCGCGAGCCGCATCAGAAGCCAAGCTCAAGCTACTAAACGAGTATGACGTTTGTACCAGGATTGGAACGCACAACAAGCAACATGACACTTCCCCGGACCTCTCATGGGCCTCATCGAAGCTCCAGGGAACCTGGAAGGTGCTACCAGACTCTATGGGTAGCGATCATCTACCCATTGAAGTCACCTTCAACGCATTGCGCAGGTCCCAGGCGCCGAAACGAGCGACTTATATAATCAATTGGGACTTGTTTCGGGAAGCACTGCAAAAGGATCAGCGGGAGCACGAACAGCCCAGCCTCACAATACGGATACAAGCAGCTGTTGGCCTCGCGACAAAAACCCGGGAAATCAAGGTGGGCACGCCGACCCCCGACTTACACCTATTAAACCTCTGGGCGTCAAGATTACAAGCCCTGCAGCGGTACCGCAACAACGGTAAGACATTGCCGCTACGAGTCAAACTAAACTGCGCCACGGCGAAAGCGAAAAGGTACACCCTCGAGCTATGCCGACGAAGGTGGAGAAAACACTGCACCTCCTTTGGAGTCAAGACCGGACTTGCTCGACTTTGGGGCACCTTCCGAGGAATGCAAAATCGTGGCAAGACACGCACGGCAGGACAGAACTTGGCAATCCGAATGGGCCTTACGGAAGAAGAGCTAGCCATCGTAGCGGGAGCGCACTTCTTCCCACAACCAAGTGGCACCAACAGGGGAGCACCGGGACCGGACATCGAGGCTGAAAGACCGGAGGGCGGTGCAGTTTCCGGACGCTCGCCCATGGATTCCCCCTTCACGCTCACGGAGTTGCTCTCGGCTATCCATGAGGCCAAGGCTGGAGGAACCCCTGGACCAGATGGGATCTCAAATACGGCCCTTCCAAACCTACCCGAAGACCGGAAACATGAGCTCCTGGACTGGATAAACGAAATCTGGGAGACAGGCCGGGTCCCAGAGGAGTGGAAGGAGTCCTGGGTTGTGCCTATACCAAAGCCCAGAAAGCCCCCTACGGAGCTCGCCAACATGCGGCCCATATCTCTCACATCAAACCTGTGCAAGTTAATGGAGCGGCTTGTCTTGGACCGTATCCAGTGGTACGTAGAGGCAAATAACGTCCTGGACCCACGCCAGACGGGTTTTAGACCCCACCTCTCCACCCAGGACAGCCTTCTTCTGTTGCATCAGGACGTCCTAGCAAAGAAGCCCAAACTAGATCCGAAGGTAGTCGTCACAGTCGACGTTAAGAAAGCTTTTGATTCGGTGCCGCACCACTCGATAATCGAAGGAGCACGAAAAAGCGGTCTCAGCGGCAGAGTCATCGCATTCATTCGCTCGTTCCTCGATGGACGTCACTATAGAGTCAGAGTGGGCTCTACGTTGGGCCCAACAATGACGAACGGCATAGGAGTCCCGCAAGGGGCCGTTCTATCACCGATGCTATTCAACCTCGCGATGGCAGGCCTTCCAGCGAGGTTGGTCGAAATTGAGGGTATCGGCTTCACCATATACGCCGACGATATTACGCTTTGGACTTCAGGCGGCCCACCAGGCGCCCAGGAACAAGCCCTGCAGGATGGCTTGAACACCGTGGCGGATTATCTGAGAGAAGTCGGAATGACTCCCTCTCCCGAAAAGACGACCTACGTTGTGGTGGCGGACGCAAGTAACAGGAAAAAGGGCGTGAAGAACCTCTTCAACCTATGCCTCGACGGCCGTCCCATTCAATGTCAACACAGCATCCGTGTTTTAGGACTCCCCATCGACGAGGACGGCGGAGCGAGCACCTGGATTGCACAAGTCACCAAAACGTGGAGACAGACCCTGGGACTCATCAGAAGGGCCACCTCCAAATCGTGGGGGGCAAACGAATGCACCCTCCGCATGTTAGTACATGCCCTCCTCACGTCCAAGGCAATGTACGGTATAAACTACCTACGTGTCACAGGAGCACAAAAGCGCAAACTAGAGGTGCTGAACAGGGAGGCAATGAGGGTGGTCACCGGCCTCCCCAGATTTGCCCCAATTGAGGAGCTCCACAAACACTCCAAAATCAATACTCTGGAAGATAGGGCCGAAATCCATCGCATCGCACAAGTTCAGAGACTCGAGCGAACCAGACCCGGAAGGGCCATTCTCCAGCTGCTTGGGTATCAGCTAATGGGCCGCCCCGCGATCTCTCCTCCTCCACCCCCGTGGGAGAACGAGGCAGTGGTGGACCATCGCCCCATGAAGCAGAACGTA